ACATGGCGATGGATCTAGAAAACTCAGAACCAGTAATTGCAAAAATAGTTTCAAGAACCCCAAAGAAGATACTAGTAAAACATTGGAAAACTTCAAACAAACATAATACGGGTAATCTCACGCTAGAGAAATGTCCTGGTTGTCTACTGAATCAGAATAAGGCATTTGAAAGATGTGAGAAACTTTATTATGAAAGTGAAATCCAAGGGTCCCTCACGAATTTCGTTAGAAAAAGAGGAAACAAATGGAAACTAGAAATTCCATTAGATGCGATCAAGATTCGCTATAGCAGAAGAAAATTGAGAATTACAAAAAAAGAAGTACAAGCGATAAGTGTTTTAAGCTATAATTTAGATAAAGAGATGATTCGAAAACAAGATATATCCTCAAAGCTTAAAGATAAACTAGTCGAGTGGAACCAAAACAATTTTGCACTTTCACAAAGTAAGTTGACTTTTTATATAGATGGTTCATTATACTCAGCCAGAAACAAGGCAAAAGGCCCTGATCGTATGGGAATAGGGGTATTGCAGACAGATCAAGACGAACAGAATGTAATTGAAGAGGGTTTTGCAAAGACCTATAATTGGCCATCATCAACTAAACCAGAATTGTTAGCAATCTGGCTAGCATTACTGGCAACACCGAGTGGAAGAAACGTCAAGATCTATACAGATAGCGCAGTCGCAATTGCAGGTATAGAGAAAGGGAGGAATATCTTAACAAGTAAACACTGGTTAAAGCTAAAGAATTATGATTTATTACATAGTATTGTAGAGCTAGTTAAAGTAAAAGAAATTCAATTAGAATTAGTTAAGGTTAAAGGACATAGTAATAATAGGTGGAATGACAAAGCAGATAGTTTAGCTAAAAAAGGTGCTGTGGAGGATAATATAGATAGTATTGTTTATAACCCCACTTAGATTTAATGTTTCACTTTTTTGAGATGAGATATTTATTGAACATCCAGCAAGAGAAATAAACAAGATTTTACTCGACTTCAAGATAGGTGCAGACTGGAGAGAATCGAAAGCAATTCAAAAAGTTGAACTGAAAGAAGACCAGAAGAAAAACAATTGGACTTATTTCTGAAGGAAAATCAAGAAGAGCAATGGTATTAGATGTATGACAATGAAAAAAGGCAAGCGCCTTGGAACTTTTTTCAAGTGTGCTAATGAGATGCTTCCAGTACTCGGAACATTATCACGAAGATGTTCAGACATATATCAAGATTCAAACTGTATTGTTTACAAAGAGAAGAAAGAAGAAGATCAGGATCATCTGGCATGCTGCAAAGAACAAGAGAACAACTGGAAGGAGGCTAAGACCTGTGTAGTGAATATAGCCTGGGCAGCTCTTCAAAAGAAACTAGGACAAGAATAGATAAAGACCTCTTAGAAAGAACGCTCTGGTGAGAAACAGAAAAAGAGTCCTACGAAACAAGATCCAAAGCAATCAAGGGCTTAGTTCAAGAAAACACAGTAGAAAGGATACAGGAGATTCTACAATCGAATAAGGAAGCCAAGACATATATCGAGCTCACGTTAGATACAATTTGGAACTGCTTTCATGAAAACATTTGGAAGGAAAGATGCGAGCTTTTTCACAAATTGGAAATCAGCAAAGGTATCTTAATCAGAGACAAAAAGCGAAGGTGCAAGCTACTGATAGAGAAAGGAACAAGACCAGAATACGACAAATCAAGATCTAAAGAAGGGGATATAAGGAGAAATAGTTCTTTAGAGGAAACAGATAGAAAACAGAAAAAGAAAGAAAAAGAGGAGGGTTTAGAAAATATAGAGAATTGTTGGTATAATAGTTTTAGAGATCTAATTCAAAATAGTTGCAAGCCCTTTTGGTATGGCTTGTACGGCTAACCTGGTATTAGCCTTCTGGTCTCGAACGAATTTTCGGACCAGTGCGGCAGACCGCTTCTGGGCACCCATGAGGTAGCCGGGGGATGTCGGGCCTAGATATTAAGCTCAACATTATGTAATTTACTTATATAATAATCTTAATAAAGGATCACCGGCGAGGTTGCCAAAGTTTAAAAAAATAAAATAAAATAAAAATAAACAATAAGAAATTTAAAAGTAATAATAATAAGGACAATGGATAGTATTATGTGAATAACTAAATTAGAAGCATACGGATAAATGAAAGTAAAATTTACTCAAGCTCAAAAATTATAGAGAACAATCAAATCGGGTGAAAAAAAGGATGATAGAAACACACAGATGAAATGAAAGTGAAACCAACTCCAGATCATAGAAAACAATCAATCGAGTAAGAAAAGTGGAAAGGTTTCAAAAAGTGGTTATCTGAAACTGAATAGAAGCAATAAGAAAAGAAAAAAGTAAGAACAAAGAGAGAAAAATCTAAATAAAATAACATGAAGAAAATAAATAAATAAATGAAAACTTATTGTTCAAGAAAAGAAAAAATATAACAATAATACCGAAATTTTGTGTCATGCATCTTTAGAATTGTCTTCTGTCTAGTAGTCTGCTATTTACCCTTATTCATTATCGCATAGTTTTAAAAGACTCCTTGTACTTTGTGAAAGAGATATAAATAGATAGCGAAATGTTTAATGAAACAGAATATATCAAGGCAAAACAGAAATATAGATCGAATGACTACGTGATCATGTAATTGATCAGGATCATGGCGAAAACCATAATCTCAGAGTAAAAGTAAGATCAGATACAATAGGTACCATGATTATCAATGATGACAAATTAGGGGAAATTAAAAAGTTTATTTTATTAATTATGTGAAAGATAGTTTAAATATAGCACAAGAGTATGTAATTGTTGAAATTAGATAAATAGCAAAGGTAAAATAAAGAAAGCTAGTCAGTCTCTTTAACTAGAAAGTTAAAAAGCATCTTCTTAAGAAAATACCCATCAAGTTGTGTGTATCATGAGTAAAGATGCAAGTTGTGTGTATCTCAAGTACCAAGTGAGACCTGAAATAAAGTTAAAGCCAACTGGGCTAAATAGTAGTCACTTTAGTAATTGCTTAACTCTTTGACATTCATATTAGCAATCATTTAATTATTACATATATACGTACAATAGTTATGCATTTATTAAATACTGCATGTATAATATCACTTCTTTTCGATCATCACTCTTTAATCATTGTATATAATAACTGTCAATTATATGACAGTATTCCAAAATCTACAAATTATAACTATGTGACGTTTGCTACAAGTATTATTTTCAAGTCTTTACGATGATTACAGAATATTAGTATAAAGGTTTACATTCATCATTTATTATTATTGAAAAACACTGCTTAATAGCTTAATAAGTAATGTTTTTATTTATCATGATATTTTTAAAATAAAATAAAAAATAAAAAAAATCATTTATAGTAATGACTTAATAGGCTAAAATTTCTTACCTAAAGTTATCTTCATTTAAAAACTATCCTTTTTTAACCTTTTTAGCATAACACTTGCCTAAACTCCTTTCTTAATGTATGAAAAATCACTGCCATGTGAAAAAGAATTAGAATGTGATTATGATTCTGATAATGATTATAAAGGATAGATACCACCTCCCATTAAAACATTAGTAGCTTTTATTCAAAGTTATTTACAGTTTTTACTTACAATTTTTCATGATAAAATTAATTAATATATAGTGAACAAGCCACCTCCAATAGATCGAATAAAAAAATATGAATTCTTAACTGGGTTATTTTCAGTTCATATTTTAATATTATTTTATTCTAAAGAGGTCAATCAATATATAGTATGTCTGGATCTAAAAAATCTCACAAAAAGGATGATAATCCTGATGATGATTCAAGCACTCTAAGCCCAAAATTTTCATAGGCTAAAGTTTAAAAAATGTTAAAAAATATGCAAGGTGAAAAAAAGATTAGTAATCAAAGTGAAAAAGACTCTAGAAAGAATAGCAAACAAGTAAATTATTCTCAAAGTCATTCTAGAAATATTTTTTAGTTCGTTCCCAATTACTTCCAGAGGATGTTCCTGAAGTACTTCCAGAGGTTGTTCTCAAATTACTTCCAGAGGTTGTTCCCGAAGTACTTCCAGAAATCAGTTCCAAATTACTGCCAGAGGTTGTTTCAGAAGTACTTCCAGAAGTCATTTCCAAATTACTGCCAGAGGTTGTTTTCAAAGTACTTCCAGAGGTTGTTTCCGAAGTACTTTCAGAGGTTGTTCCTGAAGTACTTCCAGAGGTCGTTCCTGAAGTACTTCTAGAGGTCATTACCGAAGTACTTCCAGAGGTTCTCGTCATTCCCAAAGTATTTTCAGAGGTTCTCAAAGTATTTCTCCATTAAATAATCCAAAATATTCAGAACATTCACAGGGTAATAGTTCATTCCTGATTGATTTTTTATAAAAATTTAATTTCAAGTATAAAACTAAATCTTATTTAAATAATTATCATTCATTATAGAATCCTTTAAAAGTCGTAGTTCGAAATGAAAACGTTTCCAAAGCCGATCAAAGAATTATTCAAGTTCTTCATCTTCATTTCAATCATCCTCAAATCCTGTGCCAAATGTATATCTTAAATATGAAGATATGGATAAAGTTTAAGGAATGCACTACGGGTAACTTAACTTATGATATCGATATTCTTAATATGACTAGATTTAATTTGATGATACTAATTTGTTTATATATTAGAATGAAATAGTTGCTATTTTAAAGAAGTTTCTAAATGATCAGTCATTGGATCTCAATAAAACCTATCAAGAGCAACAAGCCTTTATAGATAATAAAATAATTCCTTTGGTATCAAAAACTATTAATAAAAGAGTATTTCCAGTAGTTGATAGCATTATTAAACACATAATTTATGAGCGTCACCACCATCAACGTGAAGGATATCTTAATAAGAAAAAGGGTTCGAAGTGGGTCGACGCTAAAGCAAGAAAAAAACATTCCAATTCCAGGCTTATTGAAGTACTATTAACATGGATAATTATTTTTGAACCCAGACCAATTTATATATATAGCGTAATAATATTTTAGTCTGGATTCAAAAATAATTACCCACATATTGTTTACTTATTATTTATATCTCTAATTATTTATATACTTATTTATATATCTCTAATCATATATATACTTATTTATATATCTCTAATTACTTTAATATAGAAAAGAGAACGCAGAAAGAAAAATATCAAAAAATTGATGATACTTAGAGATCCAGTTATAAGGAGGCTTCAATCTTATGGGCTTGGCTAATAATGAATGATAACAGATACCACAGCCCAGAATTATCTGAAACAGACCCTGATGAACCTAAAAAGCAAATAGTCGTAATTCGGGATCTTCAGTGGCATTCCTCTATTGTAAATTTATTCATATTTGTTCAATTAATATTAATAATAAATTAACATTCTAATTTAAATATTGCAAATTCTAATTTTCTTATCTATTAGTTGCATGATTTTTTGCAGTATTATGTAGACAAAGTATCGGTTTCACGTACAACAAGAAAATGAGTTTATGATCACGGAAGACTTGCAGAGAATAGTAATAAACCACCAACTAATGCTCCTGATTGAACTATGGTTAGGTATTATAGTGCTTTGAGGGCTCTTATTAGAAGATGCTTTTAAGATTCAAAAATATGCAAGTAATTTGAACATCTCGCTGTACATCTGTAACATGGCTGTCAAAAACTAGATTTTGGCATAACTTGTACGCACTGACAAAGGAACATGATTTAACATTGGTCATAGCAGACACTATGCCACAAAATAAATTGATCCAAAGCGAAACAAAAATGAATGATGCTGAAATGATAAACGTAACAAAAAAATTTTTCAACAAGTATACAAGATTTTTCTTGTTATAGATACATGTATTGTTTGTTCGCAGCTAAAAACTATGTGATATTAAAGATTTGCGTAACTAGTCAATTTTCTTCTGAGTACCTTTTTGTATGTATTAAGTTTTCAATTTCGAGGCACGTACGTACGTACGTACATACCATGTACATATGTTGTAAATAGCAAAATTGACTTTTCCTAAAAAGTTGTTGCTGCAGTAATCATTTGTACAAATTCCCGGAATTCCTGGAATTCCTAGAATTCGAGGAATCAAAGAAAAATAGAATAGCGAGAAAAACCAGAAAAATGAGAAAAATTAGAAAAACTGGAAAAATAAGAATTCACGTTATTCTTGTCTATGTAAAAAATTATTATATAAGTGAAGGTTCTCTCCAGAAATAAAATATAACTTTTGAGAGATAAAAGTTTAAGTTAAAGAAATCAGAGTATTTAACTTGTGTATAACTCTTGAAGTTCGAAACCTTCTAAGCTCTTGAAGTAGAAATGTTTGTTCTACTAATTCTCTCCTGATAAATAAAATCTGTGTTAACGATTGGAACTCGTGACCAAATCCTGTAATTCTGTATAAGAAATTCGTAACGTAATTAAGAGCTCTAATCTGACACTATTACTAAGAACCCAATTAACCCTGGTTACTTAGACCAAGTCTTTCCATGCCTCGATCGTTGTCTTACTAATCAGAGAAAATTAATTCTTTTTTTAAAAAATCTCTTTCACATCAGTATTAAACTAGAAGACATTCCTAGAATAGACCTGGATATATTTATCATAAAACTAAATATATGTAATTTAAGAAAATTATTTGTGCATAGTGTCTAGCAAATTTGTAAACTTTTAGATGCAATGCTAAGTTGAAACTGCTAATTAGAATAGATATTCATTTAGAGCCTATTGTTGTTGATCAAACAAGCAACAACGAAATATAATTTTTTAGAGCGGTGTAACTAGTGAGTGCCATTTATATGTTACTCAAATTTTTTTAGCATACAGTACGTAGTACTTACATATAAAAAATTTTTTTTTTTTTTTTTAGAACCGCGATTCTGCAATATATAAAAATTAAGATTATATAATTAAGTTAATTAGGTCCAAAAATGAAAATAATTACGAATGAGGACCAAAATAAAAATTCTTACATATAGCGGCTCAATATTACAAATAAGGGCCTGTTCGATCTCTGAGCTATATTAAACGACTAAGTTACAAGACTTTATAGCATCGTCTGGTAGCCTTATAATAATTATACAATACCACTAAAATAGTTTTAAGATGCAATTAATTTTTTTACAAGAAAAAGCTAAAGGTACTATTCACGAATTTCGCTAATAAATTTATGACTTTACCTTTGTATTTATTAGCTAAATTAACATTAATAAACAAGAAGCAAAGTATAAAATATTCATTAAACTTAAAT